GCTTATAAGTTCAACTCTTAAATTTCTTATGCAAGCTCATTTTCTGACTCGAAAGTTTCGAAAAGGTATTCTCTCAAGTGCTTTTTAAACAAAGTTAACGATCTCAGTCACAATTATTTATTCGTCACAATATTTATGAGAACGTCATTTCACGACTATCCCTACACACATAACTGATACTCGTTTTTCTGATAAAAGGAAAGACTTCCACAATCTCATTTCTGGTCTCAATATTGCAACTGATTTTTCTACTACTCGTTTTGCTTTTTTTATGATTTCTTTCAATTCCATTTTCATCCTTTATTCTGCTTGAAACTTTTTTTTCTCTCAACTACTTTGATATTCATTGCATGATTGAAGTCCAACCCCTAACATGATGACATTGGAATCAAAATGAATAAAATATGTTTCAAATCGAGCTTTTTTCTGATCATCAGAAAAGCATAAAGAGAACTATAACAATAACACTTCTTTAAAGAATTCATTGTCTGATTTTCAACTTGAAATGTAATTTTGCAAAAACGACGAGACATGAAAAGGTAATTTTTGAATAAATAATGTTTTTGATTGCAAACATATACTTTTGAACTTTTCAAAAGCCTTAAAGAGTATTGATGATGGACCAAAGATCGAAACAAAAACTCATCAGTTGCAAATGAAGAAGCAGCAAATGTCGACAACGAGTTTCGCTTATTTGGGTATTGAATAATATTTCTTTTATTTATTTGTTTTCTTTCCTCTGTAAAACATACATTAAATAACTTGCATAAATATAAATGTTGATACTTTTGAGTCAAGGAAAAAATTGAATAGGGTAACGAGCCTGCTTTGCATTCTTATAACGTTTTAAGTAGTTAAACAAACAATCGTCGGCCGTGTCAACAAATTGGTGTAATACCCTGAATATCATTTTACATTTCACAAAAGAAATTGAAATTCAGACGCATAATTTTATTAAGCATTCGCAGGTTTCTCGTATTCAAATCAGTCACATGTTATTGTATTTAAATTCGTCTGTTTTCAATACATAAATGAGGCTCGTTTTAGTTTGCCATTCACAGGTAGGCAGCCGTTGCTTAAAGTTTCTTAAATTTCACATTTTATTCCATCAAGGAAATGTTTCATCATCATGAGAATAAAATTTAATTTCCAAAGGTGCTGTTGACGAAATTACGAAAGAAAACATTCTTCAACAGCATTGCTGTTAATTTTTTTCTTCTTTAATTAGGTTCGTTCTCGTAATGAACATGAAAATTTGAATTCAAATTAATTAAAACGAAGCGCAAAGCATGAAAAAATGTCCGAAAATTTCACGAATAAGAAGAATTGAGTAACGATACGAGATTTGAAATTCGAGAAGGAATGGAATGAAGAAAACGAACGATGACAAAACGATAATAATTCACAGCTAATTAAAAAGTTTTGCCTGCGCGAAAATAAGACCGACTACGATAAAGAAAAAGGAAAAAAAAAAGTTCCAACAAACGATGGAAAATGTACGAGAAACATGAGAATCGAATCATAAAAAAAAAGCATAAAACGAACTTCGAGTGGAACTACATTAAATCGTGACTGTTGAGAAGTTTAAAAGTCAACTGAAGTTAGCTTTATTGAGAAGACGACGACAACGTTTTCTCATGTAATGACAAACTCTTCCCCACCAACCGAGTTAATGAACTGCGGAACAGTCTCAAGTGGAAAATTTGCAATCTTCCTCGTTAAGATGTTAATCGGATTCTAGAAAGCAGTTAATTTCCCATAAATTATTATTCAACTAAGAATATCGCACGAACTGAAAACTATAAAAATAAACTTTCATCGCCTCTACTCGATTCATACGAACACTCGCGATGTGTTTAATTGATAAATGAGATAATGACTTATGACTCTGAACAGTTGTAATCACTCACAAAGTTAATTTGTTAGCGGCAACGACAACGGCACTGGCTGACACATGATTTCTATTAATCAACAATCTGTGTTTATTTTATTTTATTAAGCTGACGTGTAATTGCATCCGAATGATGACATACACGCGATGATAATTTCACTCATGATGAATTAAATCCTCAAATGAAGGCAAGCAAGAAAGCAACAGCAGCATCATATGCGAAATTTAAAATTAAAGATACTTTCGAGTGGAAAGAATAAATTCCCCATGTCTTGACGAGCTTGAGAGAGTGAAATCAGAGAAAAAACGTCAGTTCGAGCAATGGAATAAAAAAACGAACATAAATGAAATAATAAAGTGCAAGAAATGTGTCTGGGGCTGTCAGTTTGAGTAAGGAAAAAAAAAACTACCGAGACAAGCAGCCGAGAATGATAAATTAAGGAAATGCATGTATACAGAAACCAACTCGTTGGTGTCAGAATATCATTTCCAAGTTCTGTATGTGTTACCCGATTCGAAACATTCTCTACTTCGATATGAAGCGAAGAGCTTTGTCGAGTCATAAAACCACTCAATTATAATTTTACGCAAACATATTCGCTTGAAGATTAAATAGAACTTGAAATTTAAATTCACTTGAAAGATATATTGGATGGAGGTTGATGTTGGTCTCATATCCTACACTTGGGAATCTCATCTTACTTATTACAAAAGCCACACTCAACGGGTCTAATATTTGCACGTAATTGTTATGATTATCATGGCTCATGCAGAGCTAATAAATTAAACTTTCATGCATTTTATTTGCATTTTTATTTATTGTGAGTTTGCAAAATAATTTGCGATGGTGTTGGATGCATGAATGTGAAAAAAAAAAGAATTCATAGATAATTGGCATTGGCGTTAGATATTCTAAATGAGCCAAACCTTTAAATGATTTATTTAAAAAGTGATATTAAAGGTGAAAGAAATTGTTTTAGAGAGACATAAAATATTGCATGCATGTCGTTGGATGTGATGGCATCATGTGGTGCTATTTACTTACATATCTGCTAATTAAACATTTTCTAATATAAACAACAGTTTATTATCGTGAAAACTTTCATTTTGTTTTATGACAAATATGAATCAACTGCACTCCTTTAATTGAAAAAGACTCACGATAAACGATTTTACTCTGTGTGCTAGTTTTGTAAGCTCGAGCTGAATGTGGAGTTTTGCAATTTCATACAGATGCTGATAATCACGCATTAAACATAACAACAACGTCATGAAGAGAAAGAGAACTTGCTTGTTGTAGTCGCTTCTGCTTCTCCACGATGCAGCACAATGCTTTATAAGTCGTGACTGCAGCTGAAATAAGTAAATGTCACTTTCCAACGAACACAATAAAAGATAAAGAAACCAATATGGAAACATTACTTCGAAAGAAGTAAAAGAAGCAAACATTTTGACAAGAAATTAAAGCATTAATGCCAATCTTCATGGAAGTTTAAACTTTTCATTCTCAAAACAAAAGCGAAGAAAGATGTTAAAAAGTATCAGAGTAAGAATCAAAAATTTTACAATTCTCGTTAGTCACTTCCGTCTTTAATTAAGTTTGTTGTTTAAAGAATTAGCGTTAACGTGAAGACAAGCGAACAAAGCTTTTTGAAAAACAAAAAAAGAAAGGCAAATTTTTGCTTTTCCGCAATGTTTTTCTTTGGCAGGTTTTACGATACTTTTCCATTAGTGTTGAAGTCTTGAAGATGAGTTTTTCGTTTTTGCTTGCACGGAATAACAAAACCCAAGCTATGTGAAAAGATGTTGAAAGAGAAACAACAAAAAATATATTCTTAGGAGGCAATTTGAACATTTTTTCCTATGTAAACATTTCAACCATCAACGCACAGCCAAATTTATGTTGACATAATTTTGCTAACGAAAATACATAAGTATGAATATATTTTTTATACGCAGATAGAAGGAAGAACAGCAACACAAAAGGAGAATCTTGTTTCTTATTAAAATTCCATAAATGTTCACCATGACGAGGTTGTTGTTCTTACTTCTACTTCTACTCCACTCTCGAGAGTCACAAGATGGATGAAAAACTTTTGGCCCTCTTCATAATGATGTATTGCTTAAAATTCCATTCGTTGAGTTCATGAAACTTTTCAAATAACTTCAGTGATAAACTTTTATTTTTCTTACTGAGCTTCCTTCCTTAAAAATTTCTGCTTTCTTCATTTTCTTAAAAGCAACACTTACCTACAATGAAAATGTTGTTTTCCACCGTTTACATTCAAGGTGACTAAATATTATCATTATCAAAAGTTTCACATTGTGAGATTGGAAAGCCCAAATAAAAAATGAACGAAATGAAAAAAGGAGAGAGAAATAACAACGAAGCGAGGGTGTTTGAGAAGGAAAAGCTCTAAATGGAGATAAAGTTTCCGAAGCTCTTTTCCTGTGTGCACACCGAAGGCGCCTTAAAATGGGAATAAGCTTAAAGAACGGAAGAAAATCGTTTCTTTTCTTCCCTTTTATATTCAAACACATTTGGAAGTCTTGGAGCTTATGAAAATGAATTTTCAGGGCGATAATCCCGAAAGCCATTTAATCCGAGAGATTTGAAGAGGATCTCATTCTGTAAAACTGTTTTGCGAGGCTTACTTACTGAGTCGTCTAACAAACGAAACACCAAGAATTTTCAATTGAATAACTTTTTTTTTAACTTATCTAAGTAGTTTGAAGACTCCCCAGACCAGCATAAAGAATAAATAAAAAAAAACGAAAGAAAAGTTTCACGATGCGAATCATGATTCAATGGGAACGGCTGAGGCCCTTCGCTTGATCTGGAGGGCATCGTAAAGTGAAGCAAACAAGAACATCATCCAATTATCAACTTTCTGTTTGTATTGGAAATGTTTTAAAACTTTTTTTTTACTTCTTTTATTTTGCTTTGTTTTCTGAATAATATTTTTTCAATTTTTCAATTATTCTCCGCTTCATCCGTTGAGTTTGCGGTTTTCAGAGCGAAGCTGATGATGCCCTGCCAACAAGATGATTGAGAAAACAAACAATAATTATGAATAATTATCTTCTTAGTTGCATCCTTCCTGCAGCAAAAATTGCGCTATTTTCTTATTCTCAATTTCTTTTATGTAAGTATCGTCATAAACAGATTCGTGTTGTTTCAACTTGAAACGAACAGGGGTAAGGGAGGGGGAGACAAAGCCCGTAATCATGGGTTTGTTAAGATACATCCTCGTAAAAAAAATGTGATGATGGCAAGTTAAGCAGCGTAAACTGCAAACCAATGTCTGATTTATTACTGAGTAATTATTCGTAATTAAATGTTTTTTTTTTCTGGTTTTCCATCGATGTGAACGAACTCAACGATGTTTTACTTGTATGAATTATTAATGTTCTCGTTTCTCGCATTTAATTGAAATTGATAGGCGGCCGTCGAGATGAGTGAATTTTTATTAAACTTTTTACCTTCAATTTGAAGGAAGTTCTGAAAAACTTTTTCTGGGTTAATTTTTTTTTGGGAGAATAGAAACCTTTTGGTGCGAATGAGAAGTTATTTTAGGAGTTACTAATGGACTCCCTCTCCGACTACCGCCATCAATTATGAAAACTGAAAAGTTTATCAGCCATAAGTTTAAATGGCGCAAAATAATGACAAATTTTGAATGGATGAGAGAGCTTTTGTAGATAAATGTGGAGAATAATTGCTCTTGGTCTTTAGATAAATGATGATGGTCCGGATAAATTTAAATTCAAATTGTTGGAAGTTCCTTTCATAGAGAATTCACTGTAAAATGAAACAAACGAAACTATTCGTTGAATTATTGATTTTTTTTTGTTTTGAAATTTATTTTAGGCATATTTTATGACAATTATTATTTTATTCATTTATATTATTTAACATACTTTTCCCACTTATCATTCTTTTGTTCTACTATTCATTCTTTCCCTTTTCGAATTCTTTTCAACAGTAAACACATTCACGCTATTCTATCAAAATTTAGACTTTCCTTTTATTTATTTCAAATTATTTCTCATTCAATAATTAATTAATTATAATAGATATTTATGGAGATAAAAGAAAATGAAAAAAGTTGTCAAAAAAGCTTTCAATAACGTTAATATCACAGAAAATCAAAATGAATCAAACAACTCAGCTTATCCTCTCATTTAGCTGCTCGTAAATTAATCCAAATTGATTTCGATTTAAATTATTATGACGAATATAAAACGTTCAATGTAATTTGCCAATTGAAGCGCTTTTTTATTTTTCGTTTTGTTGTTTGTTTTATCGACGAGCAATTCAATAAAAATAAAAAATGCTTTTGGCATTGACTCAGTTCATTGTTCAGGCTGTTGCTGCGTTGCGCCAAACACAATTGTTTTATATTTTCCATACTTCTATACATATCGCGTGAGTTGATTGTAAAAGTCCTGTAGGCAGAATTGTAGTTGCTGAAACGTGGGACGATCATGCATGGCAACTGCCCAACAATAGGCCATGATAGTGAATCTAAACGAGACAATAGTTTTGTTAATTCAATTCCTTTTTCGCATTGCATTGATAAAAAAACTTACAATTCATCAGGACAATTTAATGGCTGCGTCAATCGATAACCTTCACGAAGATAATTTTCCATTTCAAAGGCATCAATCTAAATGAAATTAAATAAAAAAATGTTAAAAACTTCTTCTTACTTATGCCAATCAATCAGTTTAACTTACATCAACGTATGGCTGCTTTGCGAGTGTAAATAATTCCCAAATGAGTACACCAAACGCCCACGCATCCGAAGCTTCAGAAAAGTTTCTTAAACTAAGCGCTTCAAGTGACATCCATTTGATAGGACGATTTTCACGATCACCGAGACAATGATAGTCTTGTGGGAAAAGATCCCGTGACAAAGAATTATCAGTGAGTTTCACTGTCAACTCATCATCGATAACACAATTTCTCGCTGCAATATCTTTGTGAAGAACGCCATGCGAATGAAGATGGCAAATTGCTGACGCTAATTGTGTAGACATCTTGACAACTTGGATTGTTGTTAGTGTTCTTGCAATGGGCTCTTGAAGGAAGAGTTTCATGTTCTTTGTATTATTGTCAGCTGCATAAAGTAAAAATGGTGCTGTGTGGTCTTCAATTGAAACACCTAACACTGAAAGAATGCCAACATGACAAGCGCCATAAAGGTTCATTCCTTCTTGAAGTAAAAGCGAAACTTGCATTTGGTTTGCGTGTTGCCCGACAGTTTTGACAAGCACGTCTTGGCTTTCATTATAAGTTCCACGATAAACACGGCCAAATGTTCCTTCTTGCAATAAACTTGACAATCGCACGCGACATCGTTGAACGGTAATCTCGGAAATCCTTCGATGAAGTTCTTCCGGTTCAGAGCATTTGCTGCGTGGTAGAGTTGCATTTGTTGGACATATCGAAGGCGCAAGTGACGATGAGTGCGTTTGTAGGCGTTGAAAGCTTGACGTGCGAACGGGTTGCGATAAATGAGGCTTCCTTTTCGTTGGTCCTCGTGCACAATAAGCAATCGAAATGAGAACAGCGACGAGAATCATTGCAAGAATTCCGCCAACAATCAAAGTGATTATGGCACTTGGTGGCTTTGGAATTGATGTCAACAACGTTGGATTGTCGGATGTATTTTCCGGGACTTCACTTTGTAAGCAAATCTTTCGTCTTGTAAAGACGAGTTCGGTGACATTATTATTAGCACGATTGAGAGTCACTTCGATGGATATTGTTACATCAACTTCTGCCGCTCTCACGCCCGAGCATCGCATATCAATGGCAAAAGTTTCAATTTCTTGTGGCATCTCGCCAATACGAGTGATGTTGAGTTGTGGTCGCGGTAAAACAACGGGATCTGATGTCGCTATGTTAATGCGATACGGCAATGGCTTTCCAGCCAAACTCTGCCATGTAAACGCAATGTCTCTGACGTTTGCTGGCACGGGAACCGTAAATTGAAGAGCATATTTGTTTATTAAACCTTCTCTAACATAATAAAGTTCAGCCGAGAGTCCTGAATAAAAAGAAAGGAAAGAAAACTTTTCATAAATATCTTTCTTGATGAATATTTAACTAGAAGCACAAACAAAGCATTTCCTTGATTGCAGTCAGCCGCGGTTCGTTTAATCAAAGCGAAATTTGTTATCTACCGACGCTCGAGCATTTATTTATAGACACGAGGGGAGAAAAAGAATGGAAAATCAAAGGAACACGATCTCTTTATCTTTCGCTATCACAAGCTGCTGTTCTGTTGCATTATATTTGATGTAAGTAATCAAGAACGAACTTACCGTTCTCTTTTCTATCTTACTTTATGTTTTTAATGTTGCTTGCAACAAAAGCAAACATAATTTTCTATTCATTCGTTTTAAATCTTTCTTTCCTCACAATTTCTTTCTCTTCGCGTCATTTATGTGTTGGCAAGAATAATAAAAGCATTAAGGTTTATGGTGCGAAGGAATTAAATTAAATCGTTTGATCTCGTCCGTATGTTTCTTTCTTTCTCTCTCGTGATGGAAAATCTTTTGAAGCATTTACTTTAAATGAGACCAACAATGAAATGACAGCAAAAAAGAAGAGAAAGAAAATATTAAATTTCAATTGTGTGGAAGCTTGAAGTTTATTAAGGAAAATCTCGAATTCGCATTGGACAAAAGAAGACAAAACAATTTCTAAGAAATTATTCATCAAATTTAATCATTAAAAAGAAGATTGAAATGTGAAACTTTATGAAGAATAATAAGAAAATATTTAGTACAAAATCTTTATTGGATCAAGTAGATTTGATTATTATTTCAACTGTCAACTTGCAAGATATTTTATTGCTTCATTTAAACGATCAAAAGACCTCCGGACATTATCACAAATGCAATAAAAATTTGCCTTCCTATCTTTTCTCAGACACAGACAGACAACTTCTCTGTTCTATCTCAATTCATGTTCCGCAATCTTCAAATGTCTCAACAACAGTCTCGAGAAATTACTTACATTTCTTCATGTTCTCAAAGATTCAGTTTCAACACAAACAATTTTCTCCATACTCATGAAAAATTCATACAACAAGACAAGGAAAGAAAAAATGTAAAAAAGTTACACAGCCGCGTAAACTCTTCTCGCAATTTAATCGTTTTTTTAATGCTTACTCATGAATGCATAAGTATGAATGAATTTACAAACTTTGTCTAATGCTTTTGTTCCTAATTTTATTTTCATTCTCTTCTTATTATTCTTAGATAAAGCGCGGTAGGTGAATTGTAACGAGCATAAGTGGTACTCGTTGAATGCTTACGATAAAATGAACAAAAGGAAAATTTTGTTAATGGAAATTTCTCGACTGGGTGAAATGAAAAACTTTTATGCATACGAAGGGATAAACAGTAAATTATAAACACAAAAAAAAAAAGAAAATTCCCAGCCTTAATATTAATAATAACATTCCACAAGACTTCCCCACAAAAGTTATGTGCCATCTCATCTTTATTCTTTATTGTGGCATGATGTTCATAAAGTATTTTGCGTTTACATTATTTTAATCAATTCCCTTTTATATCTCCCTGCTCGACAACCACACATAGCTCATAAGCTTAAGAAGTTTACGATTCCTGTGACAATTGAAGCGATATTTTACGTTACTTTATGGCACATTCACGTCCATTTGCGATGAGCGAATTGAGAGTTAATTTACGAGCGCTGTTGGTGTTTCGTTTGAAATTATTTATGCTTTTTTATTTTAAACCGTAAGGAAGAGTTTTTTGTTGCGTTAGCCTCTTAAACTCTTTCACGTGTTCAATTACTTTCTGATACTTAGTCATGCAAGTTAAAAAGTGAATGTCGAGAAAAAATATTTTGTCAATATCGTGTCCAATGCGTTATCACATAAAACCAATCTGTTGCTTGTTGTATTTTTCTTATGGAATTTCTTTTCATGTTTCATTCTTTGTCTTTGTTTCATATTTTTTTTTCTTTTACGTCTCCACTCCCTTGAATCCAACTGAGATCATTTTCAAGCTCCCGTAGAGCACGAAAATAAATTTTAAGCAGAAAAACAAAATAATGAAACAAAGTAACGTTCAGAGCCTGTTGCATCTTGGAAACATCTTGTTTGACGCGTTTGTTGTTGACGATAATGTTTAAATCATTGCTTTTCGTCTGTGTTGAGGGAATTGCATAATAAAAAATGAAAGAAAAATAAAATAACAACACAATGCCACCCACAAGGTTTATCGGCTGAACAATGTCAACATTTTAGACGTTCTACAAAGCGCAAGAAGAAAAACAATATTTCAAGAACAAAAACTTCTTAACTTGTCTCTTTTTCTCCTGTTTTATTTGATTCCGTGTAAATCGTGAAATATTTCTTTTGCCTCGAAAATAAAATGGAAAATATGTTGGAATTTTGCATGAGGTTTCCGATGTGGCGGTGAAAGTCCCCAAGGAAGAAACAACAACAAACGAAAGTAGAAGAAGGAAAAATAAAAATCTGTGCTATGTTTCTTGTTCCGCACAATTTCCTTCCGCTTCGGGTTGTTCTGTAATTAATTGCAAATATTTTGAGAGTAAGATGAGAAGCAATAAATTCAAGTGGAAAAGTCGCTGTACCTTCAACGATCGCGAAATGGAAATCACTTAAGAGCTCGAGCTCGTATTATACCGTAATCATTCTAACAGCTACCTGAATTTTCGTCGTCGTTCATTTCATCGTTTCTCCCCGCGTTTTATTTTCTTACTCTACGACTGCGATAACTGAAGCAAATTAATCTCATACTTTATGAGATTTTTGGCGCGTTTGAAGCAGCTTACGTTCATAACAAGGCACCAAATGCAAACAAGATATGAAAGCAACGAAACGAAAGAGGTTTTCTTCCTTTTTTTCTTCTTTTCTTTCTTCTTCGCCTTGTTAACGTCTCTTCTCTGTTCTTCAGTCCAAGACAATCATGTTGGACCAACACTTGCATGAAGAAAGATAAACAGGTCTTGTTGGCTTAGTTCTACTGGCAAACCAGTTTTAAGAACATTTTTCTTAAAACTTCTCTCTCTCGATTCTTTTGTTTTGAAATTGCTTCATTTTTATTGCTTTCATATGTCGTTTGTTGGTAGAAACAAAATAAAATATATTGGAAAACATTTAGATGACTTTTTGGGATTTATAAATAGTTAAATACGTTCTATATAAATAAAAAGATTTGGATAATTTCAAAGGAATTGATAGCAATCAATCTTTTAATAATTTTTTTCTCCAACTTGCTTTCATAATTTTGTTTTGTAGAAAAATTTAATCTTAATACGAAAATAATTCTTCGGGTCAAATGTTAAATCTTTATTTCCTTCTCATGTCTTGAAGTTGTTTATTTCTCTGGAGTTTAAAATTAAATCTCGATTGCTATTGAAGGTTAAATTTCAACTTAGTTTTCGTAAGCCTGAAAACTCATTTATTATATTATTTATATCAAAGTTTTTTTCCACTACTTATTCTGTTGTAATTTTGATGGATAAGGCAATTGAATTTATGAGTTTATGTCATAAAAGCGGTTATTGATTACTGAGCCTCAAATGTAATCGAAAATGTTTTCACTATAAATATAAATATTTTATGAGCACTGCTGATTAATGAAGAAATATCGACAATAACAGCGACATAAGTCCTCGGCAGTTTTTTCATTCGATATTGTTATGAACATAAAAGCGAGCGTTAGACAAACCGAATTAAGAATAATTATGAATTTGTGAAATGACGAATGAAGCATTTTGTGACAGATTTTTATGACAAGTTGTTCACTCAATCATCGATGAGAGACACGTAGCGCTTCTATCCGCAATGGAAATGCTGCCGGCTTACAAATTACATTCCGTTACACAAAACTAATTAACGTGAACTAAACTTACCTAGAAGTCTCATAGTTTCATGCTCGTTAAGATACAAGTTATAACTCGCAGAAACGACGGAGAAAATGAAAAATAATCCAAAAGTTTTTAAGTTGTCCATTTTTTGTTGTGTTCCAAAATATTTTCGAGTAAATCCACAAATCTGTGTAAGTTTATTAAAACATTACGCTATTCACTGAATATTTACACATTCATTTATTATGTGATCATAAATTAATAAACATTATTGTTATCTTCAATGATTACGATAGAATTTGATTATTTTTTTGATTACTTTAGATAAATATAATTAAAATTCACTTCATTTGTTTATTTCATCTTTTTGAGCTCAAATTTGTTGTAAACACTTCTCAATTAATATCATCCGTAATTGAGTTGTACACACAGTTGTCTAATTCACTTTAATTCTTTCTTCCTGATACTTTTTATTCACAAAATTAAGATTATATTTTTATCCAAGAGCAAAATGTTTTTGCTTCCGATCTCACCGAGATGTGGAACACGAATGAAAATGATTTCAAAGTCCGCTTTGTTTACTGAGAAGAATGCTGTTGTAAGGTTTTTCGAGAGAGAAAGCCGGCAACTGGATTTATTTCGTTACAACACTGGATTGCCACATGATATCGTTAACGAAATCCTTCTACATGAATAGTTTAATTTATGAAACTTAAACAATATTTTCCGTCAATTATCTTCATTTTCATATTTTCCTTAAATAATTATCATTGTTTTGAAGCATATTTTCCTCGGTGCATGCATATAAATCATGTTAAAAATGTAATTATTCCACGCTGCAGGATATTTTCTGCTGAAGATTTTATGAAAGTAAATTTAATTATGATAAATTATTTCATTTGAGTAATTTTTCACAAGATTTCCATCACTTCTGCCTTGTTAGGTTCTTAAATTTCTTCTATAGTGAAAATCGCATCATCATCTTAATGTCACCCCCATAGAAGATCTCGTTGTCACATTGACAAACATAGAAAAGTGGCGAGTGTCATCATCATGGAGACGAAGAGAAAAATCGATCAATGAAAGTAAACAAACGGAAAAAAAGAAAGAAATTTTTGTGGGTATCCTACGCTAAGAGCATCTTCTGCTTTCGACTATCGAGAGATCCATTAAACTCTCATTGTTATTATTGCATCATTTCATTGAGTGAATTTCCAGCAGCACCCCTGATGTAATTTGCACAGCGATTTACAGTCTATATGTACACCCTCTCAAAATAATTTTACCTTCTTCATTGTGCAAACACCATGAAAAATAAAATTAAATTTTTCAAAAATATTTCGACTGCCTTCTTCCTTGTTCATAGTAAATTAGATTCACTGTGATGAAGGTACTTGTTTGACTAATGCAACTAGGTAGGTACCGAAGCAAATATTTGAATTCTTTGTTGAATCATAAAGTACTTTAATTACAAGTTCTTATGTTCAATGAACTTTTCCCTTAGGGTGATATTAAAGGAAAACATTTGAATTAAAATTTCATGTTAATTGGGCTTTTAACAATTTCATAAATTGAAACTTTTCTCACAATCACAAAAAAAACATTTTAAATAATTAAGAAGTGTCGTCAGATGCCAAAGATCCATAATATCAATTAAAGATGTTTCATTTTGTTTACTCAGCTCAGTTACTTAAAAACAGTTTTTTATTTTTCTTTACTTAAAAATTTATGCTTCGACGATTCATTCTTGATTATTATGATAAATATTGACACAATATTTTGAGTGGAAAATCAAATTGGGTCAAATTATGAATTATTGACTTCTTATCTCTTGATGGATAGAAAATAAACGCGTTCGAGTCTTTAGAAATATCTCAAGTGGAAATTGAAGTCGAAGTAAGTAAGATAATGGAGTCGATAAAAAGAACTTTTACAGCTTGATGATTGATATTTCTGGTTTTATCAGCTTTCTTTACCGGGTTCAACTTCAAAATTCAATTTCATTCCCGTCATAAATATTACGAGAAGTGCAAACAATTTGCTGTTTCCAGGGAACTTAAATTAATATTTTCTGTCATCATCTAATCTTTACTGCTTTTCTTTCCTCCTTCTTTGTTCATGTATGTTCAGTCGAGTTGACACATTTATTGCTTTCGTAGATGGGGTGGATGGAAGTTTGTAGTCGTAGAACAACTCCAACAACTTTCGTCATGTACGAGAAATGTCTTAGGATCAATAAAAACCCGAATCTGAATGGAATGTTTATGAATGTTTAGTGTTTTTCTGGCTCCAAGCCATAAACCATGAAAACTTTATCTAATAATGTCGTAGAAGTTTATTAAGTTCTTTTACCAAAACGATGCACTTATAAAAAGTTTTCTTCATGGGAAAAGATTATGTGAAGACGATTCAAGGATTTCGTAACAATGTTTTCTTATTCATTTAATGTTTTTTGGTATGTTTAAGAACTTTGGAAAAGTTTCTGTTACTTATTCATAGATTTTTGTCTTAACCGAAACCTTGAATCTACAGAATCTAATTGTAATTTCGACTTTCACACTTTATAAGCTTTAGCAGTGGAGGGTTGCTAAGTTAACTTAATTTTCTTCTTTAAGAGAAAGTCAGAAGAATAATCAATCTCAAGGCGAGGAAAAAGCAGTTCCCCAATTATCCCACTGACCAAACAGATAATTCATCACTTGGCGAATAAACATTACGACTTTATCTTGCTGAACAATGCTTAAATAGGCGAAAGGAAAACCTAATAAATCATTTGCAAAGTAAACACTTTACTATGGAGTGAGAAGAAGAAAATAGAGAACCAAAAGACATCATCATGTGGTGGTGTGCTCAGTTACTAAACTGTGCAAACATGATTTATTTATGATCAAGGCTTAGACCAGACCAGCGAACTCTTTACAAACTTTCTTACTTATTTTATTGTACAGCGAACAGGTTGCTTCCAAAGAAAATCTCTTCCATGATTTATTTCAAGGAAGAAATCAACTGAAAAGTGAAGGAACAAACTTTAGCTGCTTGGCAGCATATTTACGAGGCATTATTAAACTTTATTCTAGTGGCAGTACTTATCTCAGGTGTTTTCAGTAATTAACTTGATTTGAGTTATTGTGAACTCTCTGGGATGGACTTTCAAAAAGAAATTTTAGAGATTTATGGAATAAAAAAGTTAAAATTAATCTTAAGGTAAATTGTCCCTCCGAACGAAATTGCTTTCATTAATCATGCGGAGAAAGCCCATTTTAGCGAGAGTCGAGTTTAAATTTTTGTGTGATTTCAAACACTAATCAGAAACGCCATCCAATAATATTTCGGTCGAGATTCGAGAAGCGTCAGGTTGGAAATATCCGAAATCGCTTTTGAGACACGTTCGACGTTTGCTTGTCAATTAATAAAGTTGCAGAAGAAATTTGAAATTTTTGTCACTTTACGTGTTTGGGCTGAAATTTAAAACCAACATATTGAGTACAACAAATTGGCTTCGAGCCATGTAAATTAATATTGAACGATTTATCACCAAGTTCGAACGAGTTGAATGAACAATGTCGAGTCTCAATTTCGTTCTTTCTTCACTTGCTTTCCTCCTTGTTTTATTTTTTTGCGTGTTCATTGGAAGGGCTTCGCACTCATTGTGTGAACTCTCTGCACATTTTACATTTTTGTGTGATGAAGTTTTGTAAAGAATCGAGATGCGGGCACTGTGCATGATGTAACTTAATATTTTGTCAGTACTGATTTATTGGGTGATTTGTTTATTTCTGTTCAATAAACCTAATTCTTTATGTTAGTCATGTCATTAGAACTATGAATTGAGAACGGAGGAGAAATTGATGCAGTTTATAATGATTTTAGCAAGGCTTTTGATAAAGTTTCTCACAGGATATTGTTAGAGAAATTGTTCAAAGTGGGCTTCTCTGGATCGATGTTGAAGTGGTCCGGATCGAAAAATGTACATGAAACCCATAAATTCGCAATCTTATTTTTTTGATAAATTCTTCACAATTGACGACCTAAGGTGATGCTAACTCATTTGTTCTTATTTCACTATTGACATTGCGGCTATTGAACTTTATTGTTCTTTTTATCATGTGCGTAGTTTATGAAAATGAATGAGTTTAGATTGTTGTATCATTTAGTAATGTTTAAGTTTTTAACAATATGTTTGCAAAAATGTCAGAGTAAGATGGCGAAAGAATAGTTTAATTCATACTTTGATGTACTTAAGTGGGTAAATATTCTTATTAATATTTAAGAGTGTGAATAACAATTGATGCATTCTTTTAAATGATATAAAAGGCATCACAATTTTCAGAATTTCATCAGTATTTTGGAACATTTAACTCAGATATGACGAAACTTTTAATTATCTTGGCAATTGTGTGCCTTATTTTAATGGGTAAAATTTATGATAAATGAAATGAATATTAGAAGTAAGTTCTTCGTTTTGTGAAATTTCAGTGCTTGCAAACGCACAAGGAAATAGAAATAATGGAAGAAATGGTCGAGGAAGTTGAGTATTTAAAAGTAAACTTGAAAATTATTTAACTTTTGGAATTAATATTTTAAGGAGGAAGGTTCCATGATGACTTTGATGGTTTTGGTAATCAGAAATGATTTCTCTGAGATTGGAAAATTTTTATTGAATTTCTGTATTTAATGATTCAGGTGACTTCTTCGAACAGATATTGGATTAACTTCCAATGATGACTTGTTGACAAGAAGCTTGATTAAACTCTTAATTGAGCCTCAATATCAACCGAATGTTATTGCAGAGAAATTAAGATTTTTAATAAAACTTTGGAATAACTCAAAAAGCATTTTTTAATAATTGTCAACAGTAAATCTATGTTTCACTTATAATTGCAGAGCGAGAAAAATCAATAAAATCTTTAATGCAGTGAAAATAAGTGTTAATGAAAATAAGTGACGTTTAATAAAATACAATCACGAGATTTATGTGCGCATTTAACTGAACCTTGATTTTGTCAGCACCATCGGATTATTGCTGTTTAAGTTACAGTGAAAGTCAATCAAGTGCAGCATTCTGTGAAAAGTACAGTGAAACTTTGATTTGCCGATGGCTCAAGGTGCATCGGTTTATCGATTTATCGGTTTATTGAGGTAAGTTCCAATATAAATTTGATTCAAGGGACACAAAAAATATCAGCTTATCGAGGTTTATCGGCTTATCGAAGTAACATCTTATCAAAGTTCCACTGTAATTGAATAACTTTAATAGACTTTGAACTGTCCACGGCTTGTCAAATGAAATTAACAAAAATGATTTTTTATCTGTTTGTATAAAGAAAGGAGATTCGACTTTATTTAACTTCCAACTTCGACATCTGTCTTCATTTTGTTTGATAAAAATGATTTGATTTGTTTATTTCTGTTCTTGTTCAAAACATGTAAATGATCTGCTGTGATGGTATCTGATTCATCACCTGCATGTTCCTTCTTCTAGCTCCATTCGCAAGTGAGATTCATAAATTTAAGACAAGAGATAAACATGAAGAAATAAAACCACAATAATGCAAGTCTTGATCAGAGAAATTTTATTCCAATTTCCTGCTGTTGAAGTTCGAAATTAATATTTTGTGAGTTGAGATTTTCAATTTATTAAACACGCGTTTTAGTTGTTAAAGATACAATCACGTCGATGATGTCACTTCATTCATTTCCACCCTTTGTTTAGGCTTTCAATCTTGGTGCTATTGGAAGAGTCGTTGGAAGGGAAATTAAATTTATGGCATTGACGAAAATTCAGTCTGACGTCGACATGGAAGTTATTGCCAAACAACATTTTTTGTTGTTCAGGTTTATTATGATGATGTTTTGGTGGAAAATTTGTAAAAGAAACTACATTATCGTTGAGTCATGTCTGAGTTCTGATTCAAGGTATATTAAGCATAATAAAGAACGTCTGATCCTTATCGAGGGTCAAATGTCTTGTGACTACATTTATGCTTGTTGAAAAAAAAGAACACAAGCATATTGTTTAGCATGTATCGCTTCCAAAATCTATCAAAACTGAACAATGGGGATCAACATAATGGAACAGTTGAAAAAACAAATCATTAATAAATAACAGGTTGTAAACATTTGCTTATGAACTGTTGGGAGGTGAATCATTAAACATTAAAGCTTTTTGGATATTTCCACGAATACATAGCTAGTAATGTTTTAAGGAAACACATTATGTTACAAAATGTTTAATAGCATAGTAGCACTAAATTAATTCCGACTAAATGTAATTATAATTGCTTTATCTTGTGCTACGCGACCTATTTTCGCTACTCCATAAATAAAAATGCCCCGAAAGATAAAAAATTTTGTTCAACATTCCTTGTTCAAATTCTTGCTTTTAAATATTTTCTATAAAGTTCACACAGCCGGTGGTATAATGAAGAATGTTATCAAGAATAGAATCAGATGAAAGATGATGCGGTGTTATCATGAACAACAAACAAACTTCCTTAAACTTTAACATGAAAGCTGTTACAACTTGTAATTAATTTACATCCTTTAATTTCATTTCTCACCAACATAAATCTGCTACTAGAACGACATGTTTTACTACGTACACATCATGTAATGAATGATTATGGCTGTATTGTGTGTACACACATGACAATGTGCACATGCCTCTTCTCTTCGCTTAATTAATCGTGTTATTTATAGTTTTTAATAAAATACTCAATGTAGTAAATATCAAGTTAGTTTCCTTCTGTAAGAATGGGAAGATGGGAAGCAAAAACAACCAAACAAAATACTGAAAAACCACAAAACCCATAAAATCGTTCTTGTTTCGGCATGTCTTTTATCGCTCTCAAGCCAACAAATCGTCCTCGTGCTTTCAGAATTATTCAATTCTAGTCAACCGATGAAAGGATAATAAATCACTTCAGATCTTCTTCGCGCTCATGAACTTGACTTTCATTGTCGATTTTCATCACGGAAAAAATGTTGGCGACGTTAAGTGATTTATAGATCATAGCTGAAGTTTTATATGTATCAAGCTTAGCATCCCAAAGATAATTATAGATACGATGTGGTGAACATATTGAACATGAATATTTTGTAAAAGCAACTTAATTGAAAAGCACATGATAAATTCTCTTATCGTTCCATTGTATTTTGTCAGGAGATGATAAATTTTAGTCAAGATTGAGTTGATAAATGGAAGTTTGTTTGTGATATAACGAAATTTATTTTATACTTTTATGTATGTGCATATCTTGTTTAAATTTATAACATGCAGATAATTAAAATTGTTTCGATTTCAAAACCAATAATTTGTAAGATGAGCCTATATTTATATTCGATAGTTGTAAGATACAATGATCATCCTTATACAAACATAAATTACAAAACAAGCTACACATTTAAGATAGCAAATAATTTGTTTATTCAATGTTGTAGAATATTTCAAAGATTTCAGGCAGACTAGAACTTGACATGAATTATTTATCATTTCTGAATTTAATATCAATGTTAACAGAAACCTTACTGCTAAGCATCTTTCCCAATTCTTTTTCTTTTGTTTTGTTATTAAATAAGTGAATTGCAAAATTGGTATTTAAATCCCCAAGTTAATCCTTAACCCCCTTAAGCTTTTCTTACATCATCATGAATATTTGAAAATAAACTTTCTAAACATTTCCCACATTCCTTAAAATCTTCAAAATATTCTCGCAAAAGTCTCATGTGATGATGAAGTTCGTTGAATAAGAATAAATTAATAATTATAAGATGAAATCATTAATTGAGATAAATTGCTTTCATATATGTAAGTCAAACAATAATAGAAAAGTGTTGGAAAGAAAACTCTTTAATTAAATCCCCGAGGGTTCAAGTTTTAGTGTCTTTGTTTATATTTAACACAAGCTTATCATCATCACGTCAAACGTTTTCTCGTGAGATGAAATTATAATTTCGGCTTTGTCTAAACTTTGTAAGATGCAAACAAAAGAAGAAAACCTTTAGACAACCCAATTTCAAACTTTTGATGTCTTCTGCAACAATGGGAAATTTCTTCTTATTTACATAACGTGAATTAAAGAAAATTCAAGAATTAAACCTTGGAAATGAATATTCAAAAAATGAGATTTTCTTCCCCTTTTGTGCTTTGATGATATTGATGATGATGATGATGATCAAAAGCCATTGAAAGAGGCTTTAATTAAATGGGAAAATCATAACTTTTAATGAGAAGCTTCAATTGAAAACGTATGCTAAAATAGCTCAAAGTTTTTCTATAACTTCTCCCCTTCTCATGATCGAAATCGGAACTTCATCGTTGCGGAAAGTTTTTCATCTTTTGTGAAAAGAATATTAATGAACTCCCTTCAACATAAATTATCGCATTTTACGAACTCGTTTGCATCATAATTTTTCTGTTAGACAATCTTAATCATTGAGTTTGAAATTCGTATCGCAAGGAAGCTTGCACAATTACAAATGGGTTGAGATAAAAAAAGAAGTTTTAAGGGACACGATTTAAATGATAAGTCAGAAATTTTTTTGAATTATTTTCCCACTAAGGAAGAACTTCTTCCGAAGAAGTCATAGAAGAAAGAATGCATGTTTGAATTGGACTGGTTTTAATGTCATAAAGACTTTAACAATTTTCTTTTGATTGTTTGAATTTCAATTAGTAGCTAAATTGCTCCTTCGTTACTTCAAAATATTTCCAATACTAAGTTTTTGTATTGTTATTAACGAACATACTGCAGAAAATGGCAAAACGACTTCAAAAAACTGCGACGTTCTAAACATTTTTTTTCATTTGTCATTTGTCACAAGTTTCGTAAAAAAATATTTTTTAGTTGATCAGTCAGTTTGTATTTTTGATGATGTAATTTGAAACTCACAATTTATTAGTGAAACAATTTCAAATCCACTTTTCTCCGTAATCACAAAGAAATAAACTACGAATGCTAATGAATGCTCTTCATTTACGATGAGAATTGAAGTGAAATTTCAAGAAATGTAAAGATAAGAAATCAGTTAATGACATTAATGAATGGAAAAAAATTGGTAACGAACATTTCATTATCTTGTTTTGACTATGAAGTCGTCGCTTCTTTCATAACGATATATCCAGTTCTTAATTGATATTTAATTATGACTGAAGCGACATTCAGAAGAAGTTTAAGAAATAAACTTGTAAACTGATAATTCGATATTTCATTAGCTTCCTGTTAATGTCTCATTCACTGATAATCTCTTAAAGATTTCCAAGAACAACCAACATTTTAAAAGTTGAAAGTATTTTCTGAATTGCATGAGTAGGTACTTACATACCTAAATATTTAGGGCAGGAGTTGATCACCTAAAATGTCAATCTCTACATCGTTCGTTCTTAATTCCACTAAAAGCTTTTTCCACCAGCATCATTTTTCATCATCACACGGAGATACCAAGATTTCACGCACTGAGTGACACATTTTAATCATGACCTGACGGTTGTCTGAAAATGAATTGTCTCAACACCATCACCAATACTTAACTGTGATTGAAAAAGAATCGAAGTGGAAATTTGATACAATTTAACTTCCGTAATGGAATGTCATCTGGGTAGAAGTTCCATTAGAAGAGAATTTAATTAAATTCAATTAACTTCTCTTTTTGTGGCGTTAGGGAATACATTAAAGTACGCCAACATTAATTATGAATACCAAGCACAATGTTGAGTCGTTAAGCGTTAAATATTCAAAGTGAAGTTTCAAGTTACTCGTTTGTTGCCTTTTTGATACTCAACATTTTACATTTATTTTTGCACTGTTAATTGTTTCCTCGCTTACGGTTGACAACAAATGTGAGCATGAGATCAATATTTATAAACAGACAGTCAACAAAAATTAAAATTAACGAGAACGCCTTCGCGTAATTCAAAACTCATGGGTGTTCCACCGCGTTTCTTAAAACATTAATTGATCTTGTTAACATCATTAATTTTTTAAGGTGGAGTAGCGCCATGTCAGCGAGTTTTGCCAAAATAATAGGCCGGAAATTTGTATTTTATGTTTGCTTTTTATTGCGTTGAACGGTTGACGAGCAGAGTTTTAATTTCACGTTTAATTATTTTTGAAGACAGAAATTTAATTAAAAGTTAATTGACGACAGCGACTTCTTTGCAATTTCAAGCGGAAGTTTAAGTGACATATTCATCATTTTAAATGTACATTAATTTAATAGACATTGTTATTCGAAAAATATTTAATAACATTATGGAAGTTGATGGAAATTCTATTAATGTTGGCAATCACATCTCATAAGTTAACCTTTTGAAGTTAGCAAATTCAACTCCCGTGCAATGAGGAAATTTAATTTTACAATTTATTTCCAACAACTGCAGCTTCTTTACTGCTCTCAAAATAAAACGAAACTTTTAAAACTTATTTGCTACGATTCTTCTTTGAACAACAAAGCATAAATAAATTTAATAAGCAAACAAAATTTTCCCTTTCGAATGAAAGTTACGAAAATTTCTTTTGTTTATGTTTATAAAATAATTAAGAGTTAAAAGTTTGGAAACGAACGAAACGAGAGTAAAATGTTATTATGATTATTTTTCAACGTCGCATATCGTTTTAATCTCTGATAGAATGGAAAATCTTGACAGGAAGTTTTCAATAGAGAAAGGTATGGAAAGAAGTTTACGTGAGTTTAATTTTGTTGCGAAAATTTTTTAAAATAAAGGAAAGAATTAAAAAGTAATTTTCTACGCTGTAGGAACAGGGATCAATGCTAATGCTTTAACATAAATACTTTGAACATATGCCTTGTTAAATTTGTTGTGAAATAATTTATTTAATATATCAGATCCAGATACGAGCAGCTTTTACAACCGAGAAATGGTGAATAAAAAAACATTCACTTTTTCATTGTCACCTAAAAATAATCTCAAATTACTCACATTCAAACATATTCATTTCTTTATTTTTTAAATCAAGAGCCCGAACCGAACCGCCTTCATCTTTTAACATATGGTCGAGTCTCACTCCCAAAAAAAAATATCCAATTAATTATGTCACATCTTCCCCCATATCATAAGAATTTTTATGATGGTTTAATAATTATTAAATAAACAAATGCAGAAAGTTGAAACACAGAAATGTAAATATAGCGACGATAAAATATTTTTTTTCCTAAACAGAAGATTTTTTGTTGCCTCTAAAAAGCGATAAATTAATTAAATTAAATAGATGCTCACACAAACGATGGAGACATGCAATAAATAGAATTTTAATTTGTCTGAGGGTCGTTGTTGCGGCGCGATTGATCAAACATGTAGATAGAAAATGACATAAATGGTGCTAATATCGCGAGGGTGAATCTTAAAGATTTCTTTGCCTTCTCTCCGTTTTCCTTAATTGAGGAAAAGCGAGAAAAAATTCCTCGCTGACGTGGACGAAAATAAATGACATCCGCTTAGTTTGCCTGAACAATTAACGAAATTGAAGAAAAGCAAAAGAGAAAAGGCGTGAAACTCTTAATTGTTTCAACATGTTGAGCTTATCGACTAGGTGTGACAGTTGAATAGTCTTCAGTTACAATTATCGGCTTTTACTTAACAACCTCTGGTAATTAAAAAAGTCTGAGTAGCTTCATTTGTCTATTATTATTCTCTTCTTTGTTATGTACCTACGTCGATACATTTGCAATTATTTCTCACTCCTTTTATTTACAGACATAAATTGAATTTAGATTGAAATAAATTTGTTCGGAAGAAATATAACCAATTTTATTTCGGAAACACAACAGTCTATACAGTCAAGAAAACTAAATTGCACAATTTCAGAAACACTCAGATTTGTTTGCAAATTCAATTTCAGCATTTTCTCCCTTCCTGATACTCACATAATTTTTTCTGGAACATCAAAGAGATTTTGTTTCTGAGTGGATTTCATGACTTTGATGCTCAAACACAAAGAAAAAGTTTATTCCAATTTTAAGTGGACATGAAGTTTATCAAAGCGTTAATAAAGTCAATTTTAAGCATAAAATATATAAAAGTTTTCCTTTTCATTTCGGAAAAAATCATTTTATTTCCCTAATATTGTAATTCTAAGGGATTTGAGAATGTTCCAAAAAGTGTGAGATTTTTTAACTTCCCTTATTCAGAAAATTCCTTAGAACTGATTTGTTTAATGCCTTTTTTAAGAGGCAGATGGTTTAAAAAGTCACACGAGAAAACCCATAATTAGTAACATGACCCATGGTTGTTTCACATTTGAGACGAAATCGAGATTCGGAAACACATTAGCATGAATGATTTGGAATGAAATTCCAATGGAAATCTACATTTGAGTGTTAAGTATTTCATATTTTTATTTTTGCTAGAGTTTCTTTTGACATGTTTTGACTCAAGCTGTAACTAACACTTGCTCCATTTGCTTAAAAATCCATTTCCGTTTCGCACAATAACCAATGTCCAATTTTTCATCTGCGTTTATCATTAGGATGCAAAATTTAATTGATTTCGTTATCTAATCAAAATTAAGCAATATTTTTATGTTTTGAAGTTTTGTCGTTATGAACTTCTTAGACAAAATTTTGAACCTATAGGTTCAAAAATTGAACCGTCAAATGTTTACATTGAACCGTCAAATGAAACAACGCGCTTTAAAACTTTTACACAAATAAATTTGAAATTACTCTAGAGACATTTTAATTAAAGTAATCGAAAACACAGAAAAGTAAAATGCCCAAAAACAAAACAAAAAGACAGAAGAAATCTCAAATTTATGATGATATTTATATCGTTGAGAAAATTCTTGATAAAAGAGTTGAAAATGGAAAAACTTCCTATTATATAAAATGGCTTAATTATTCACATGCACATAATAGTTGGGAGCCAAGAGAAAACATATTCAGTGATAGTCTGATTGAAAGATTCGAGAGTGAAAGAGGTATTAAAAACAATTAAAATATTACCTAATAAAAAATTGTTAAATTTAATTTTATCTTTAGCCAAGCAACAGTCTGAACATCCTAAAAAGTTTTGTCATAAAACTATTGAAAAACGTGAAGATCAGTTAATAAAAACAGAGGGAGTTGATATTTGTAAGTTTTCATTATTACCCTTGTATATAATTTAAGCATAAACTTTTTTATCTAATCAGTTAAAAGTGAACCAAAAGATGTAAAGCCGAATTCAAATGGAGGAAGTAATGCAATAATCATTCAATCAGAGAAGTCTTCTTCAGTGCCAATGAAAACAGAAACAAAGGACATTTGTAAGTTTTCAATTTTACCCTTGCATGTCATTTAAGCTTAAATTGTTTCTTTAAACAGTCGACAGTGGCCTAATAGATGTAAATCAAAACTGTTATCTAGGCAGTAATGCAACAACCCTTCCAACAGAGCATTGTTCTTCTTCAGTGGCAATAAAAACAGAGAAAAATGATGTTTGTAAGTTTTCAATATTATCCTTGCATGTCATTTAAGCTTAAACTAGTTTTCTTAAACAGTTAACAATGACCCAGTACTTGATAAACAAAATTTAAATATAAAAAGTGAAGCAACAACTCTTCNTCAAAAGTTTTGTCATAAAATTATTGAAAAACGTGAAGATCAGTTAATCAAAACAGAGGGAGTTGATATTTGTAAGTTCTCAATATTTCTCTTGTACATAATTAAAAAACATAAACTTTTTTATTTAATCAGTTAAAAGTGAACCAAAAGATGTAAAGACAAATTCAAATGGAGGCACTAATGCAATAATCATTCAATCAGAGAAGAATTCTTCAGTGCCGATAAAAACAGAAACAAAGGATATTTGTAAGTTTTCAATATTACCCTTCCATGTCATTTAAGCTTAAATTGTTTCTTTAAACAGTCGACAGTGGCCTAAAAGATGTAAATCAAAACTGTAATCTAGGCAGTAATGCAATAACCCTTCGAACAGAGAATTGTTCTTCTTCAGTGGCAATAAAAACAGAGAAAAATGATGTTTGTAAGTTTTCAATATTCCCATGTATGTCATTTAAGCTTAAACTAATTTTCTTAAACAGTTAACAATGACCCAGTGCTTGATAAACAAAATTTAAATATAAAAAGTGAAGCAACAACTCTTCCATCAGAGAAAAATTCTACTTTAGCCTTGCAAGACGTTGTTCAAGTAATGGGACTTACAGAGAAAAAAAGTTCACAATATCCTGAAGGTCAATTGATGTTTGTCTTCAAGCTCGATGATGGAACAATTCAGTATTATCACCGAGATGAAGCAAAAATTATGTACCCACAACTTGTCATTGAATATTACGAGAGACACATGACTTGGGAAAACGAATGAGTGAGTTTTATATCGTCAATGATTAGTCTTTTGAAAGCTTGTTCATTGCGTGTCTTTGATATCAATTTCGAGAATCTTTCTTTTATCATTCATTGCAAATTTTATTCTGTTTTAAAATTTCCTTCAAATCAAACAATTCTCAGTATTTTTTTAACTTCGTTAATTCCTGAAAAGTAAAGATATAATAACTTAATCTGTGTACAAACATAATGATGACAGTTACAAATAAAATGGCAAAAATGTCAACGTGAGTAAAATATTAAAGAGAATAAAGTATTTTGAGTTTTTGAGGAGAAGGTGGAAAAAGGATCTGAAAAACTTTTAAATTTATTCTGAAAACATTAATTTAAATTATTCAATCCTCAAAGCTACGCTCCTTCATTTCATGCGGTGAAATTATTCACAGTTAAACATTTTATGTCACCACATTCTTCCTTTTACACCCGAATATTTATGCTAATGATGGGAAATAAATTTTTAATTTAATAAAAGACATTTATTAGTAGTCCATTAAGCATAATGGAGAAATGTTAAGTACAATCATCACAGGGCAAAGATCGCTTTATTTACCTGAGCACATTAACATTTCATTGAATATTATTTACTCACTAAATTTCCAAAACTAATATTTAAATATAAAGTTAAGTATTTCTTTTTTCAATTTCTAATTCCGCTAAAAGCTTTTCTCATCAACATCATTTTTCATCTAAGATTTCACGCACTGAGTGACACATTTTAATCATGACCTGACGGTTGTCTGAATATCTGATAATGAATTGTCTCAACACCATCACGAATGTTTAACTGTGATTGAAAAAGAATCGAAGTGGAAATTTGATACAATTTAACTTCCGTAATGGAATGTCATCTGGGTAGGAGTTCCATTAGAAGAGAATTTAATTAAAATCAATTAAACTAAAACTTATTCAATCTCAAGAACTTTTCTTTCTCTTCTTCTTATTGAATAAATCAAAGACAGGCATGCTTTGAGGAAACAACAATTAAGACTGAGAGTGCAATTAAACTTGTGCTATTTAAAAGATGGATTTGAATATTTGCTTTGATTGAAACCCAATTTTCCAATTGAAATGCAAATTTTTGGTGTTGAAAATATAAATAAACTCTCTGAATAATTTTGGAGTTTCCGAGAAATGAAAGATGTTGACATCTGTTCACATTTCGATAGAATTAACAACAGGAAATTGATTTCTACTTCTCAGAAAATTGTTGAAGATATACGAAATTTTATAGGATACACCCACGCTTTTCATATGAAACGTATTTTTATATTTTGATAAAGAATCGATAAAAAACAAATATCTAAGCTTTGAAGGGATGTAACAAATATAAATAGACGAAACAAACATGGCATATCTTCAGATCGCAATTACCTCGTTGCTAAATATTCAACAGAGAACGAAAATTTTCTTCTTTCTCATTTTGTAGCATTCAAAAATTTAAATTAATAGCAAAAAAGAGCATACATGAACAAACATTTCTCAATATATTTAAAAATGACATGAAAAATAATCAAACACAAGTAAGTAGACTAAGACCTAACTTTATTGTCTTTTGCTGTCTAGAGAGTTGCAATAATTTATTTTTTATTGCGACGAATGTGTGTTCCTTATGTCAGAGGAAAGAAAATCATTCGCTGCATTTTTCAACTGTAATTTATGAGCCATTAAATTATCATGCATGGTGCAAAGCAAACAAGAAATTTAGGAGAAAAGGAAAGAATCTTGAAACTCGTAAAAAGAATTTTTTGAGAGAAACAATAATTTTCTTCATGTTGTTTACTTAAATGTCTGGTGCCTGAAGAAGTTAAGACGCGTTTGAAGAATTAATTTCAATATGCATAACTTTTGTTCCGCAATTCCAGTGAGAGTTTTCAGCTTTATTTCTTTCCCTTCTTTTTCTTCTTTTGCGATTCAGGCCAAGCGAAGCCGCGAGCCTTAAAATAATAATTGTAATGACGATTGTTAATTATGGAAATGAGAAGAAATTTCTTTTTTTATATACTTTTAAGGCATCCATTAGATTGTGACAAATATAATAAGCGTTCTCCATTGCTGCTTCACTGAAGATGTCACCTTGAAATTTGGATGATTTTCCAGCTTTTCCTTTCTTTCCTTTACCTTTTCCTTTCTTCGTAGATCCACTTGTTTCTCCATTCTCACCTCCATCTTCGTCTCCTGCAGCTGCTGCTTTTTTTCCTTTATTCTTCTTTTTACCCTTACCACCCATTGCTCTAATTAGCAAAGAAAACTTAAAGAAAGTGAAGAAGTTGAACAACATAAACAAACAATTGTTTCGCCTTGGTTACCATGAAAGGTTTATGTTGAGTATTTATGCAAACATTCTAATTTCTATAAAGCCACCACATACGCTTCTCTTGATTTTTAATTTCATATGCCATGGGTTGTGTGTATAATCAAACAATATAAACGAAGCCTTTTAAATTCTGTAGCCTGAAGATAAATGTTTATTTATGTTGTGTATTTCATTAGTTAGATTTAACATGAAGTACGACGAAGAAATTTTAACGGTTGAAAATTATTCAAATGTACAAGTTGTTATCGAATGTGACGATAATTTCGGTATTTCAGTTGAAATTTCAAAACTGTAAAAAACCAAAATTGTCGCCAGATTCGACAACAACTTGTACATTTAAAAAAGTAAACAAAAAATTTTATAAATTAAAGAACGAACAAAATGATAAATATTGGACCAGAAACAGATAGTGAAGATGAACTTCCTCCATCTTGGGAAGAAAGAGTGACAAATGATGGGAATGTTTATTATTTAAATCATCCAATGAAATTGACTCAATGGTAAGAAGATTTTTAAAATATTTTGAATTACTTTAAATGAAATGAATTATTTTGTAGGACACACCCACGAACAAATAAAATGAAGAGAGTACACGGAGATCTTCCTTTTGGCTGGGAAAAGAGAGTTGAAGATGATGGGCGAATTTTGTTTATTAATGCACAAAAAAATATTCAATCGTTCACCGATCCCAGACTTGCTTTTGCAGTTGAAGAACAATCACAAGGAAGTCATATTAGACAACGTTTTGATGCTTCATCAACAGCGTTTTCGGTGCTGCATGGAAAAGATTTAACTGGAAGAGTTGCATTAATATCCGGATGCAATTCCGGCATTGGTCTTGAAACTGCCCGATCGTTAGCTTTCTATGGATGCGAAATAATATTTGCTTGTCGTAATCGAAAATCTTCTAATGAAGCAATCGATGAATTATTAAAAGAACGAAAAGACCTGAGACTGCACTTCATGAGTGTAGATTTATCTGATCTTCGGTCATGTCGGAAGTTCTGTGAAGATGTGAAATTGAAATACAAACGAATTGACTTTTTGATTCTTAACGCTGGCGTTTTTGCATTACCACATAGTCTGACTCAAGACGGGATTGAAACAACATTCCAAGTGTCACATTTATCACATTTCTACATCACATTACAACTTGCTGATCGATTAAATCACGAGTCACGAGTTATTGTAATTTCATCTGAAAGCCATCGATTCGCAACGTTGCCAACATCAGGATTGACAAGAGATCAATTAAGTCCACCGTACTCAAAATATTGGAGCATGATTCAATATAATAATTCCAAACTTTGCAATGTTCTCTTCGCACATGAACTTTCACGACGATGGCAATCGAGAGGGATCAGCGTTTTCGTGCTTCATCCAGGCAACATGGTGTCAACAAGTTTACCAAGAAATTGGTGGTTTTATCGATTTCTCTTCGCTCTCGTTCGACCCTTCACGAAATCATTACAACAAGCTGCCAGCACCACAATTTACTGTGCTACTGCACCCGAACTTACAGGGTTGACTGGAGTTTACTTCAACAATTGCTACATTTGTCAACCTTCGAAACTTTCACAAAACGAGACATTAGCGAAGGAACTTTGGCGTTTAAGTCAAGAAATGATTGGCGAAATCTTTGAATCTTATGGAAGTTGAAATCTTTTCATGTCCTTTCTTCCTTTTTCTTAATAAAATAATCAAGAAATTTAAATCATTCCAATGCGCATGTGTCAAATTATTTTCCTTTCTCGATTTGTTAAAGAGTTTTTTTATTTCAGTTTTTCTAATATGTTAAAGAAATCTTCAATAATTCTTGTGACTCTGTTGATATTAATTAGAATAACTTATGGTAAAAGAGGGCCTCATCATCCTCGCGGTGAATATATTGTGAAGCGAGAAACAAAAAAACAAGAATTCACTGAACATTTGAGTCATGATGCTGAGTGAGTGAACTTAAAATGATTTCCGAATTAAAATAATTAAAAGTATTTTGTAGACACATCGAAGAAGATTTAACAGGAATGCATGTTCATCATAAAGATGTTGCAGAGATGACTGAAGAAGAGAAAAGCTTTTACTACTTTAAGATTCACGACACTGATAACAACGATAATCTCGATGGCCTGGAAATGATTAAAGCAGCGATGCACCGTCATGGCAATTTTGAGATGCAAGACGAGTTGAATCATGTAACAAGTAAAAGATTTTCTTACACTTTCCAAATTATCTTCTTTAACTAATTAAATATCTTCACTTTAGTGGTTGTTGACGAGTTCCTTGACTTTGCAGATCTCAACAAAGATGGCTTTCTTAATTACGCTGAATACATCAAAGCAATGAACTCAAGTCAAGATGAAAGTCCACCATTGTCATCAACAAATGAAGAAAGTTCAGAAAATCAGTTGAATTAGATAAAAATTCATTTAAAATAATTAAAGTTGTAAATTAAGTGAAGGTAAAGTCAGGATTTGACAATAAAATGGAAGATTTTACAGAAATAAATAAATGTCAGTTTATCTTATCGTTTAAATTGTTTATTTGATGTTCAGAAGCACTCATTCAGTTTATAAGTAAACCAAATGTGTTATTAATTCTAATCTATGAACATATTGAGATGATGCTTGTTATCTCATAATTTATTTGACTAACACTTCAATTATCATCATAAAAATAAGTTTAGAATGCTTCGATAACTCACTTTCATTAACTTCACTAATTAAGCAATTAGAAATTTATTAAAAATCTGTGACTCGACCTTTTCTCTCCCAATCGCCGTATCTTGTTGGTTCAGGTCCACGAGGTCCGCCAATTTCGCCTGTTTTAGGATTTGTGTTGTTAGGGAAAGCTGGAAGTGGTTCCTTCTCTTCATATGGATGCTTTCCTTGGATCTCATCAAGCTTCCCTATCGGAGTTTTCGCACGCAACTTCTTTTGAAATTCTTCCATTCTAGGACTTAAAGGTTTGTCAGATTTCTTGTTCGGATGATCATCATGAAGTCTTAAAATTGATGTCATCAAACCTCTGACTGTTTCAGAAAAAGGTGAATAAAAGTAAACTACGTTAACGAGCGATTACAATAATTTTTCATGAAGACGTTTAAAATTTAAATAACACGACAATAAACATAAAAAAATATTTTTTCCATAAAAACAAACATCTTGGAGTTTGGACTTTGAAATGTTGACTCTCTCTCTCAGCTTATTGGAATTGCCGGTTATCAGGCATTCTCTGTAGTTGTTATGATGCGCATATAAATTCGATTCCACGGTCCAAAGGTAGACTTTTATAGGTAAGGCAACGACAATTTATTAACTCGCGTGATTATAAATTAACGACAACAATTAAGATCGTGAAATCAAACTCAATTGATAACAAAAAATTGTCATTCATGATTATGTCTCGTCTGATTGTCTGTAAACAATCCTTTTTTCTTTCTTTCTTTCACAAACATGTATGTTTTCTGACCTCTTAATGGAAATTCTCTTCTATAATCTTAAACTGACTCATTAGGACATTGAATCATCTTTCGATTTGTAAATAAATAATAAATTATTTGTTTTCATCACATGCAATTCATACAATAAATAAATAAATGACACGACTTCAGTTCATGATTGCCAGAAGTAGAACAACACACCAAGATTAGATTTATTTGTTGATCATGACACTCTGTTGTGATTGTAAATCAAGTTGAAAATTGATAAAAGAGATCTTGATGATGAAAGTAACACATTTAGATAAAAAATGTAATCGCAACTAACAAAAATAGCATAATTAACACTCGAAAATTTGATCAATAAATATCTATTGAGAGTGGCTGACGTGCGGAGTCTTTTCATAACAAAATCTGTTTTGAATCGTGACTAGAAAGCACAAGAAGTCTTTGACTTTCCTTTTAATTTGTCGGTCATTAGAGAAGCAGCATTGGACAAAGAGTTGTTATTATTTACGATGCTTATTAACATCGCTATCCATTTGACTGTTGTGTTGTTGAACTGATAAAGCAGGGAAATGATTTTAATTGAATTAATTATCTGCTATTACGTCTGAACTATGAGTCAGTTTAGAAACCGGGCAATCAATGACGTTAATCAATTGCGATCCAAGTCGCATTACTGTTTATAGTTAATGAAACTTTCAATGAAATTATCATTTATTTATCCATTTGTATGCAAATTTATGATTTTTTTCTTCTTGAAATGGATATGAACGTGACCTTGGATAGAGGAAAATTTAATTTATTTAAAATATTAAGCGTCGCCATTTCTTTAATAGAATCAAGTTACATGGAAATTAAATTATGCAAAACAATCGCTGATTTGATAGCTTGATATTTCAATTGAATAACAAGTCAGTGATATGCTCACGAAACTTGAAAATGTAAACAAAACACAAACAGCTGATCGCTGTGACTGGTTTGTTACGCTTACCATGAGAATTCTTTAAACTCGCTTTATTCGCCGATAAAGAAGACGCTAATGATGTTTTCAAAGCACCCCTGGCAAACATTGACATGTTTATTACTCGTTTCAAAGCTGATTTGTAATTAAAATCCAATAATTTCCAGTAAAAAATAATAAAATATTTAAGAGATTATTTCTTTCACACTAAAAACAATGCACTAACACATTCACATACCTTCAGATGACGCACACTACCAAACTGGATTTTTCTTCACTTTTTTTTGAAAAATGATATGAGAAACAAAACTGAGAATTATACTTTTGCTTTTTTATTCTTAAATCAAGGTTTAAGGGAGTATAATAATCGTCCAATCTATTCAGGAAATTCTGCAAAATAAAAGTTTAGTTATCACAAAGCAGCAAATATTGAGATTGTGTTCCGTAAACACATTTATTTTCCTTTTTTTATTAATGTTCTTATCATTTAATAGATACTACATCATTATTATGAATAATTTAAGTCTACCTTCTAACATAGAAAAAACTGAAAAATTATTATGTGCAGATTATGAGTTCGTTAAGTTTTAAGTTGATGCAGATAGGAAAGAATGAAAACTTTTCCTAATGAGAATATTTTGACTTATCGAACTCATCTCACATTATTAGCTTTTAAAATTAAATTGCAATTACTATCTATAATTGCTACCTAAGAATGATCTTAAAACTAATTTTATAATTTTCTAAGATCTTGAGTTTCCATTGTCCTAAAAGTCACTTGCTCTGCCCTTGACTTCAAAGTCACCATACCGGCACGGGTCTGAATGAGCGGATGAAGATTTGTACACGTGTTGGCCGATCGCCCGTTCGTAAAGGTTTTTTCTAAAGTTCATAATCTTTGAAGACGCTGGGCTATTGTTAAAGAAGCTTTGGAGTGATTCCAATTGAACCGAGCGTGCTGTTAAAGAGAAAAAAAAGAAGAAAAATGTGTTTAATCAAGTGTCTTAATTTGTTTCTATTTCAGAATTCTTTTTGACAAGTTTGTGTTACAAAATAGGTAATTATTTTCCATTACGAAAATAAGGAAATTAAATTAAATTGTTTATGTCTAGCTTGCTTTAGTTGATAAGGTTCAGAAATGCTGAATTGATAAAAGGAATTTCAAAAGAAGCGGTGAATCATCACAATATTGAAACGTGAACTACCGTGTCGTAAATCTTGCGAATGCTTACGTGATGGATTGAGCATAATGTCTATTTTTTGTACGTTAGCATAAATATGAAAGGGAGAGAAAGGTTGAATGAAACAAAATTTGAAAACGCGCCGTCTCTCACGTATCTAAAGCGTGGTTTTGAGTTCATATGAAAAGAACATTTCTTCATTCTGTTTATTGCAATATTTTTATTTATAATACGCAAAATGAGAACAATTTTTTTTCTTCTTCTGTTTTGATGTTTTGAAAAACATTTCTGACGATCCAAAACCGAGCACACTTCATTGACATTCATCGGCTCGTAAAATTTTTGTTTTGATAATATTCTCGAACAGAATGTAAGAATAAGTCGCAATATTTCAGGTTTTATTAAATACCGGCGTTTGAATTTTTAATCAAATTTCCTTCAACACGTTTCATTTTCACGATCTTAAAGACATTAAATTGATTAATATTCGCTTACCTTTCACTGAAGCCATTTGAATTGGTTGTTTCAATTTAAGAACATTTGAAGACATTTTAAATCTTTTTTTATTTAACTTCTTTTAAACAATTATGATTTCAACTTGAATCAACAATTTCTTGTTTTATTCTTTCTTTTAATTGTTTCTTTTTTGTAAAACTTTTTAATATTTCTTAAGCTTTATTATTTGCTTTTTGCTTTCTTGCTTGAGCTATTCAAACTGTGAGAATTTTGATGGAGATCTCCGATTTTTATACTCGTTTACTCGTCTCTCCAGCGTTAAATTTCCTTTTCTGTTGGGTACGTTGATGCGCACATGTAGCTGTTTTGTGTTCATACATGATTTGTGTGATTCATTACAATGATGCATTCATTACTTTTTAATTCAAGGGATTATTGTTGATGATTAAGCACTGTAATCAATTTATTCGTATTTAATTATTTTAAATATTGTTCATTGATTGATTAATTAATCGTTTCGTGTTAAATCTGTGAAAATCTCGATTCTTGTAATTGAATTTTTCCACGGATTGAGATTTGTTGTCAAAATGCGGACTATGAGGGTCAATTTTTAAATCGTCATTAACTGTTAAAACAGTTTTTGTTGACTTAATGATTATGATGATGGTGACTTTTACAGCAGCATACAAATGTGATAACAAGTTTGAATGAGGCCAAACATTTCTTAATTAAATATTTCATTTTCTTTATTTATTCAATAAATTTAAAATGTGAATTTTAGTAAACATTTTTAGACTACAAAAAAAGTACTTGCAATTGCAATAAAGTATAAAAAAAAGAATTTTTCAAATAAATTTTCTTAACGTCACTTGGGGATAAAAATATTCTGGAAATTTTTAATTCTTATTTCAATAAATTTTCATTTCTTATAAATTCCCGAAGATAAAAAAAAGAAACAATTCCGTTTAATTATTTAAACGTGAAAAGAAATAAAATTGAAGTAGAGCAAAACAAAACGACAAACCGTCACGATGAAGTTGTTTTATATGTCAAATTCCTTCTCCCAGCTCTCATCACTTGTTGACGATTCTGACTCCTTCTTAAAATGATCTTTTTCAATTTTTAGCTCCTCTGCTGACTTTTTCGCCTTTTCTCCCCCTTTTGTCGTTTGCTGTTGGGTCGACTTTTGTTGTTGATGTTGTTGTAATTTTACATTTTTATTATTCTTACCCTTGGATGATTGCACGTTAGAACTTGACTTGGATGGATTTTTCGATGCTTTCATGGCAGTTTTGGGAACACTTGGTGGTTCGACGATATCTGTCTTTGACTTTTCTCGCTCTTTAATTTCCTGTTCATAATCTTCAAGCAGCTTCGCTTGTTCTTCTTCAGATAATTCAAAGTTAGCAATATTCATATCTAAATAGTTTGAAATTAATCAAAATTTAATTAAAGTTAAATTAATCTCACCATTCATTTCAGCTTTTATTGGTTTCTTATTAGGAGAGGAATCTTTAACAACATCAACTTGAGGCTCAACAACAATGACTGGTTCCGGTTGCTTTTCGATAACAGCAGCTTCCTTACGCCTTCTCTCTTCATTCGCCAGATCATCTTCCAGTAGTGCTTTCTTAAACAAATATCGCTTGAAGAAATTCATATGCGATACTGTGTCAGGCACAAATTTGTTGCTATAAATTAATCAAAGAAAAAAAAAGATTTAACAAAAAAAGTTGAACGACAAAAATTCTCCTCACTATTTTTCGTTGAGAATCTGTGATGATTCAAGCATTTTGTCGACTTTTTGTTGAGTGAATTGATCCTGCTCAACAATCTCCAACCACATGCGATACTTTTCCGCATATTCAACTGTTTTACTGGGTTCCTCCAAGTACGTTTCGTCGTTGCTTTGTAACTCAGCCAAATGTTTTGCAAAACCTGATAATACAATTGTGTCATCCGATGTAATGAGAACAGCTTCGGATGCGTCGTCGTCATCAAGTTGGGGAATCAAAGCATCAGTAACACTTCCAAAGAATGAACTTAAGCTTTGTTTCATGTAGTTGACAGTGCTAGGTTGTGAAGGTTTTGCTTGCGTTGATTCCGCTTCAGGTGAAACTTTTTCGTATCCATCTTCATCATCATCAGTTGCGGCAATATTGAAAGTATCGGTGACAGCCGTCGTGAGCTCATTCAAATCATTCTTCACTGCTTCAAGCACTGAGGCTGACTATTGATAAATGACAAAACAATATTTATGTGTTTAAAAACATTAAAACAATGTTTTTTTTGTTGATTATTTAAATTTTACCTTTTCTTTAGCTTGTGATATCCAACCACCCCACCAATTAGCTGAAGGTGTTAATGGACTATTATCTTTAGCATTATTGACACTTTCTGGAGAATTTTCTGCTGATGGACTTTTTTGTTGTGTCGTAGTTTCTTTTTGCTCCATTTTTTTTAATCCCAATTTCTTTTGGGAATTGATTGATTATAAAGCAATTTTTGATTTATTTAAAACTTTATTTGCGTAAAATCAAGATATTTGATTAATTATCACAGTTTTAGATGGTTTAAAATCAAAATACAGCTGCGAAATGGAACTTTATTGTTGTTTTTATGAAAAAATTCGGGGGGAAATTGTGAATGATGGAACAACTTTCTGATGTTGTTAGATAAAAATTTGAAAATTCTTTGTTTTCTCACTGAATATGTTTTCTTATTTATTCTTTGAAGAATTTATTTATTGTGATCTGTAGTTTTTATGGTCTTTGTGCAAATATTTTAAATTACTGAATATCCATAATGAAAACTGTTCACTTTACCCCAACGTATCAAATTTAAAAACATTTTTTCCGTTATAAATTCGAAAACATTTCCAATGTCTTGTCCAATGTCAACATTGCAAACTGAGAAAAAAACGCAAAAAATTGAAGATGTGAAAAAAAATATTTTCGATTGAATCAAAATATCAAATACTTTTCATGTTTAAAATTTTAATACTTTTCATTTTATTGAATTCGTTTGATTTTGATTTATATTTTAAAAGAAAGATAAAAATGAGGTGATCCGCCAGTAAGTTTGTCATAGTTGAGAAAACATTCTTCTAATGACTCGAGTGCTTCTGGCAAATTGCTATCAAATATCCATTCAAAGTTTTCTTCAGAGCATAAATTACCAGCTAAGAATATGGTTCTCAAACTTCGTAACACACTGAACATGTTTCGATCAATTGCTGAAATTCTGTTGGAAGTTAAATTTAATTGATTTATATGGGATGTTGTGAGAAATAATTCCGAATGAATGATTTCCAGTTCATTGTTAGAGAAGTCCAATCTTAATGCACCTCTACAAACTCCGAAAACACAGTTGGAAAATGTGTCGTTTGGTAATGAAGATATTTGATTATCATTTAATTGTAACGTTCGTAGGTAATAAAGTCCATGAAATGTTCCAGGAGCAATTTCTTTCAGATTATTATGTGATAGATCGATAGCTGTTAATTGGTACGATGATGAGTTTCCATTGAAAGCAAAAGGATGAATTCTGCTGATGTTGTTGTTTGAAGCGAAAACACCCCAAAGTGAAAATAATGCAACAGGCGGATCAGCATCGGCTCCCAAATCTAAACTTTCAAGACGATTGTTACTTAAAGAAAGTATAGTCAAAAATTGTGGACCAGTAAACATTCTTGGCGGTAAAGAGACAAGAAAATTGTTTTCCAAAACTAGAGAACTTAAGCTTATTAACGTTGAGAAAATATTTTCTAGTAGCTGAGTAATCCGATTGTTCTCGAGATGAATTCTATTTAATACATTTAAATTAGCGAATGCGTTCTCTGGCAATATTGATATTAAGTTGTTTGAAAGACTCAAAGCTCTTAAAGCTCTCGGTCCACTAAAGGCATAATTTTCAATTGTTTCGATAGCGTTTTGTCTCAAATTTATTTCAGTAAGCAAGAAACAAGCACTGAAATGCCGAGGGACTCACGGAGGTGGATCTGGAGGATCTTCTCCTTTTCATGAGAACGGGTGTCCGCTCCACCTTCTTCGACTTCTTCAGCTGACGGTGAGACCAGGGAGATGGCTGGTGAGTGTTCTCATCTTCAGAGAACTTTATCTCTGAAGATTTGTAGAATAATTCCCAAATATCCCCCATCTTCCTGTTCTTCGCGTTGCGGGATCTCTGATCAAATTATTCTGTTTAAGGCATTAAAACAATTCTCATTCTTTATGCTTCACATAAATCAGCAAAAGAACTAGGAATTAACAATTTAACATTGAAGGCAAAATAGTTTCTGTCGAAATTTCTTAACATCAGTCATCAAAGGACGAGATACAGGGAGCGAAACAAGATGGGGTTAACACCCCTATATTCTTAATCGCTTTAGTGTACTGGTTAGTACACTCCCTACTCTGATGATGATGAAGTTAACAAACATTAAAAGCTTAAAACTGTATTGACAATTTCACTTTCAAAACTTTTATTTTCCGCTTATCAAAAATTTAAACGTGAAAAGCTTCAATGCTTCAATAATTTTTAATTCGAATTTCTAGTACCTGTGAAGGTTCAATTACATCAAATTATAGAAAAACTCACAACGTTGTGACATTTAAAAANATTTCAGTGTTTAAAGTTCAAAATGAAGGCATATTTCAGATGCTTTTTTATTCTTTTATTGTTAGTTAATTTATTAAAGTTTTACCAAAAGTTATTGAATGACTTCTAATAAGTCTATTTCTGAAATAACTTTTGGTTTTATTATGAAATAGGCGAAAAAATTAATATTTTTTACATCAAGGTTTTCAACCTATTGTTCGTGCGAATTTAGATTTAAAAAATTTTAATTTCGCGCTAAAAAAACATTGAACAAGCTTCTACTTGTCTGACTGTCATCCACATTTTTTTTATGAAGTTTTTTCTTGGCTGACTGTCATTCACATTTTTTTGTAAACAAACAGCAGGAATAAAAGTGAAAATTTAAAAATGAAAATTAAAAGACAAAAATATCAACAATACAGTGCTGAAAATTTAAATGAAGCAGTTCATAAAGTGAATGAAAACATATTGACCATTTATTCAGCTTCAAAAATATACGGAGTTCCGAGATCAACTTTAAAAACGAAATCAAAAACTATCACATTGTGCGGTGGATCGATAGTTGATATGAAAGTTGTTTTAACTGCAGGTCATTGTCTTAAGAATGCTAATGGTGGTGTCATCATCATTGGTACAAATGATTTGCTTTCTAATGAGACAGATGTTGTTCGTCATTATGTTGATTCCTCAAGTTTTAAAGTTCACCCACAATTTAACATTCACGTTGCTTATCTTGACGTTGCATTAATTATCTTACCTGAACCTCTGAAATTTTCAAATGCTATTCAATCTGTTAAGTTGCCATCTGGTTATCTCTTGGATGAATCATTTGCGGGTGAAATTGGAACAGTTTCCGGTTATGGTCAATATTGTGATACATGTGGATCATCAAATCTGTTAAGATTCACACAAAATCGTGTGATGCAAAATAAAGAATGTGGAAAATCATTTGAAATTGGATTAATTCCTTCTGAAAATCATGTTTGTTTGTCAACAGTTGAAACTAATTCTGGGAATTGTCGTGGAGATTCAGGTAATCGAATAAAAGAAGTTACAGAAAAAAGAAATAATTAAAAAAGTTAAAAATCATTGAACAACTCAGGTGGACCTTTGACGATCTTTCGAAGTAACAAAACTATTCAAATCGGTTTATCATCGTTTGGATCTAAGAATTGTGAAAAAGGATCGCCAACAGTATTCACACGGCTAACAAGAGAAATCGTATCTTGGATCAATGAAGAAATCGAAACAACAAAATTATGATTTTATATTTTAGTGACAATTTATTTTTATTATAGAAACTAAGTAATGCCATCTTTTCACACAGCAATGCATTTTAACATTAAAATCACTCGATGAGACTTTTGCTTTGTAACAATTTAAATTGTAATGTATGATGATGAATGTAATAAAGTCTCAAATGATGCAATTACTGATGAAAACTAAGGAATAAAAGAAATTAAATTATACTAAATTTTCTACATGCTCTTTTTTTTGTCAAATCCATTTATGTTGTTTATGTAAATATTTACAGTCATCAATGTTCATTAGTTTATTAGAATTTGAATTGAATTGCATCGAATCTGCATTGCTCGTAAAATTAAAATCACACAATATCTCAAAAGTAACATCTAAACTCTATGAAGAATAAAAGTTAATTATATTTATAGATACGAATTAAATTATATTTAGTTAGATAACGGAAACAAATAATGAAATAGACAAATTTGTTTCGTCGAGTGCTAAATATAATTTTTTATCTTCTTTCTCTTAAACTTTAAGAAGACGAAACAGTAAAAATAATAAACTTCAATTAAGACTAACTGGTGATGTATTATTTTCATGTGGACGAGAAAAAGCTGCTGGTGGAATTGGTGGGAAAGAAATCTTTGAGCAAAGTCATTCGACGTTTTTCTGCGATGTCCATTTGATTTTCAATATCACCTCGATCACGATCTGTAGTTTCTACTCTTTCAATTTTCCATGATAAATTTTCTATTTCGGCTTCAAGTTGAGCCTATGGAAAGAAAATTTCATAAATCCATTGTCAATAATCATAATGTTAAGAAATCTTACTTGTTGATATTCAAATAGATCTTTACGTGATGATGCTTCCATGTAATAAGCGTATGGATAAGTATATTGTAATGTGTAACGACATTTGGCGAGAAGTGAAGCAGCAACGAATAAATATTGCCAATCGATCCAAGTTGAAGAATTTAATCCTTTCATCACTTTCTCATTAATTCGAGTTTTAAGACGATCCAATGTTTGTTGTTCAAGTTGAAGAGACTTGGAATGATTTTCCCATCGTTCGTAGTAGTGAAGATACTTTTTGAGTGCTTCCCGAGCCTTAAATAAATTTATTGTAGAATATTTTCGAATTTAATAATAAGAAAAGCCATCAAATTTACCTGAGCATGAACAGATTCATTAGCGATGTTTGGATTCTCTTTGTATCTTGAACAGTAATGACTCTATTTATATTAATTAATTAAACAAGCTGTGTTTCTTTTAAGTTATTTTTTATTTTTCTCTCTGTTTACCTTTATTGAACAAAGAAGTTCAATAAAAACTTCGTGGTTCAAACTAAAGTTCAAACCACCAACACTTTTTCATTTTCACCTACACAAATGTATTTTTCTACACTGTCGAATTTTATGTACAATGTAGCACGAACAATACATTTGCTATGGCGAAATAAATGTGCAAAGCTAAACATTAATTTCCCGAAGTTTAGCGACACATTTATGAAATTTCAACACTTCTTTAAGAAACTACGTTAAATTTAACTATAAGTTTCTTAAAGAAGTGTTTTATTTAATTGTTTCGTTTGCATATTTTTCTGCATCTGAAAGTCAAATATGCAATTTTTGACGAAATCAATCGCTACTAACCCTATTCTGTTTAAGGCATTAAAACAAGTCTCATTCTTTATGCTTCACATAATTCAGCAAAAGAACTGGGAATTAACAATTTAACATTGAAGGCAAAATAGTTGCTGTCGAAATTTCTTAACATCAGTCATCAAAGGACGAGATATAGGGAGCGAAACAAGAAGATGTTAACACCCCTATATTCTTAATCGCTTTAGTGTACTGGTTAGTACACTCCCTACTCTGATGATGATGATGAACAAGCACTGAAAATCATAGAAGGAATTTCTTGAATTAAATTTCGATTTAAATTTATCCTTTCTAGATTATTACATCCTCCAAAAGTTTCTCGCTGAATTTCCTTCACTTGAACTTGAACAATAATTGCCTCTCGCATACTCACGAACGATTGAAAAATTGTTAATGGGATGAAGTTTAATGTTCCAGGATTAGTAAAGTTCAACCACCTGACGTCTGCGTGAGAGAATCCAGGAAGATGTTCGCCACCAATCACAAAATTTTCATTCCTCTCAGTGACGTTGACATCAGACATTTCGCATCCATAATTGAAATTTCGGTTCAGAAAGAAACGACAAGTGCCACATAATGTCGGTGTAATTGCAACTGATATTATAATCAGCAATAGTTTGAAGCTTTGATAAGAACAATTAAAAATCGTTTTGAACATTTAATAAAAAAAGTTTAAAATCTTACCTTGAAATCATCGCAATGAAATTTGTTGTCAACTTTTCAATTTCTCTCGAAGAACTGATCGAAATTTTTTGATGTTTCTGCTTTATTTTGATTTTGGACTGAGCTTATCTTGAAATTTATTTAGATATCGAAGCTTCTGATAAATGTTGATAAGTCAACGATAAGCTTTTAATCNCGGTGACGTAAACGCTTCACTTCAACAACATTTATTAACAATTCCATCATGTTACATAAAAGCATATCTTCGTCACGGAAACACTAAAGAAAGTCAAATTTCAAATAATTTTCTCATGAGTCGATTAAGTAAGGGGGCAATTTGCTTCATTGGTCTAAGTGACTAAACCACGGTTTTGTATCGAACGCGTTGCCAACGGCGCGGCCGGTTCGAGACTGGTGGTGGTCATGTAGATCTGAGGTTTTCAGAAGTTTAGATACTTCGCCCCTTAAACAGTTTTGTCTTTAACTAAGTTTTCGCTGGGATGAAAAATAGTGCTGAAATATCTCTTTGTCTCGAATTGTTATTCAATTCGAACAATGAAGATTATATTCAGGCTTAGAATCTCTAGCGGAACGAAGTTGAAGATGAAACACTCTATCGTCAAATGATGGTAAAAACAGCCCAAGGCTACTTTCTAGAAAAGACCTTGGGTGGATGCAAAACGGTCGGTAGTGAATAGTCAGCACAAAATAATTTCAATGAAATTAAGTAATGTTGTCATTTTCACGTGCCACTTATGACCATTGCCCTCAAATGCCTTCGGCATTTGATGGTGGTTCCTATATATGGCCAGGATTGGCCTATAGGTGCCTGTCCTTGATCTGATGATGATGATGATGACTTTTTATATTTTAGAAGAAAGATAAAAATGATGAAACTGATACCACTGCAGTGATAAGAACTGTGACGAAAGAAGTTTTATGATAAGGTGATCCGCCAGGCAGATTGCCAGTAAGCTTGTCATAGTTGAGAAAACATTCTCCTAATGACTCGAGTACTCGTGGCATATTGCTAACATTTATCGAATAAAAGTTTTCTTCAGAGCATAAATTACCAGCTAACAAAATGGTTCTCAAACTTCGTAACACACTGAACGTGTTTCGATCAATTGCTGAAATTCTGTTGGAAGTTAAATCTAAACGATCTATATGGGGAGCTTCAACAAATAATTCCGAATGAATGATTTCCAGTTCATTGTTAGACAATTCCAATCCTAACGCACCTCTGCAAACTTCGAAAGCACAGTTGGAAAATGTGTCGTTTGGTAATGAAGATATTTGATTGTGATTTAAGTTCAACGTTCGTAGGGAATAAAGTCCATGAAATGTTCCAGGAGCAAATTCTTTAAGATTATTATGTGATAGATCGATAACTTCTAATTTATGCGTTGATGAGTTTCTATTGAAAGCAAAAGGATGAATTCTGCTGATGTTGTTATTTGAAGCGAAAACACCCCACAGCCAAGGTAATTCAACAGGCGGATCGGAATCGGCTCCCAAATTCAAACTTTCAAGTCGATTGTTACTTATAGAAATTGAAAACAAAAGTCGTGGACCAGCAAACAATCTTGGTGGTAAAGAGACAAGTAAATTGTAATGTAAATTCAAAGAATTTAAGCTTGTTAACGTTGAGAAAATATTTTCTGGTAGCTGAGTAATCCGATTGTTCTCGAGTGTAATTCTATTTAATGTAGTTAAATTAGCAAATGCATTTTCCGGCAAAGTTGAAATTAAATTATTTGAAAGACTCAAAGTTCTTAAAGCTCTTGGTCCACTAAACGCATAATTTTCAATAGTTTCGATAGCGTTTCTGCTCAAACTTATTTCAGTAAGCGAGAAACAACCACCGAAAGTCATCGAAGAAATTTCTTGGATCAAATTTCGATCTAAATTTATCCTTTCGAGATTATTACATCCTCCAAAAGTTTCTCGCTGAATTTCCTTCACTTCAACTTCAACAATAATTGCCTCTCGCATACTCACGAATGATTGAAAAATGGTTAACGGGATGAAGTTTAATGTTCCAGGATTAGTAAAGTTCAACCACCTGACGTCTGCGTGAGAGAATCCAGGAAGATGTTCGCCACCAATCACAAAATTTTGATTCCTTTCAGTGACGTTGACATCATACATTTCGCATCCATAGTTGAAATTTCGGTTCAGAAAGAAACGACAAGTGCCACATAATGTCGGTGTAATTGCAACTGATATTATAATCAGCAATAGTTTGAAGCTTTGATAAGAAATAACAGAAATCGTTTTGACCTTCAATAAAAGAAAGATTAAAATCTTACCTTGAAATCATCGCAATGAAAATTGTTGTCAGCTTTTTAATTTGTCTCGAAGAACTGAAAGAAAAACAT